TGGTGGTGGTGATGATATTGATGGTGGTGATGATGTTGATGGTGGTAGTGATGGTGTTGTTGTTTTTGGTAGTGATGGTGATGGTGTTGTTGTTGGTGGTGATGGTGGTGGTGTTGTTGGTGGTGATGATGTTGATGGTGGTGTTGATGGTGGTGTTGGTGTGGTGATGATGTTGATAGTGGTGGTGGTGATATTGATGGTGTTGGTGTTGGTGTTGGTGATGATGTTGATGGTGGTGGTGGTGGTGGTGGTAATGTTGATGGTTGTGGTGCTGATGATGTTGTTGGTAGTGGTGATGTTGATGGTTATGGTGGTGGTGATGTTGGTGGTGGTGGTAGTGATGTTGATGATGGTGTTGATGGTAGTGTTGTTGGTGGTGATGATGTTGATGGTGGTGGTGCTGATGATGTTGTTGTTGGTGGTGGTGCTGTTGATGGTTATGGTGGTGGTGATGTTGTTGGTGGTGGTAGTGATGTTGATAGTGGTAGTAGTGGTGATGTTGATGGTAGTGTTGATGGTGGTGATGTTGATGGTGGTGTTGGTGGTGGTGGTGATGGTGGTGTTGGTGGTATTGGTGGTGGTGGTGACATTGATGGTGGTGATGATAATGTTGTTGTTGGTGGTGATGGTGCTTGCCTCTTTTTTTGAACTCTAACAAACGGACACATTAGCCCTAGTGTCCAGAATAACATTTTCCCAAAAATGCACTTCTGCAATGTAACTTTGATCATGGTAACACAGAGAACATACCCTAGGTGTTTGCAATGTACAGGGTGTGAGCCCTGCCCACCTTTCTCATTTCTGAGGTGACCCAGCATCCCAGGAACAGAGCAGCATGGAGGTGACTCAAATGTCTTTTGAGACCAAGCCTTGATTCAGACTTCAGCTCACAACTCATGAGCTCACCTCCCAGGCCAAGCACTCAGTCACTTAGATCCTCATTTCTGTTTCTGGGAAGTGAGCACAGTAAGAATTACTTCAGATGTGGCCATATTTGGTACTCAGCAGATGCTCGAAATTCGTAGCTATTAATATTATTGCTATGAAATAATATTAGTGAAAGCGAAAGTCATACTAATGTGTGTCAGCCGCTGGCCGCAGCACAGTGGCTTGTCTGTCTGCATTTCTATGATCGGAAAGCCAGAGGACACCCAGATGCCCCTGAGATTCAGATACCATGGCTTTCACCCAAACTTTCCAGAAAGAACCTCTCAGTGTTTCCTCACTCTAAGCAAATGCTGGTGTTTGGAATGTGCTCAGGGGACACAAGCCTAAGCCCAGAATACCTGGCTATGGCTGTGCCATGTGCTTGCCAAGCCCTGGCTACCCCTGTTTTTGGGACAGAGTTGGTCTTACCTATAGGTCTTACAGGTGAGTCTCAAGCAAACACAAGCTTCAGGCGTCTGTGCCACCTGCACACGGACCACAGGGGTCAGATGCCCTGGGGGAAGGGCTCGCGGTGAAGGTTAGCGGATGGACTAGCGAGAGAGACTTCAGAGCTGAGAGCACAGAGAGCCGTGAGGGTCACTCATCCTGCATTCCCCTGCAGAGATGTTTCTCCCCAGATGTCTTATGCCTGGGCCCTTCCCCAGCCCTGCTGAGTCCAGTGCTGACCAGGATTAGTTACGTGGATTTTCCAGAGAACTCTGACTTGGGTTCCAGGTTTAGAGTGGCTGATGGCTAACCCCTGACTGTGTGCATGGGAAAGGAAGTTGGTAAGATAAAGCAACTGGCCTGCAGTCCCTTGCTCATTAGCGGCAGGGCTTAGAAGTAGAACTGAGCTCTTCTGCTCTGGTCTGAATCACCTTTCACAACACTCATGGGAGTGAAACCCCTGCAGGGTGGAGAGCCGAGGCCTGGAGCAGGGGACCCGGCCAAGCTGACCCAAGCCAAGCCTTCACGTGGGAGCAGGGGTGGCCAGAGGGAGGCTGGGAGGCTCTGAATATCACCCTTAGTCCCAGAGGGTGCCCACAGTGGTGGTCACAGATAGTGTGACCATGGTGGGCAGGGTGGGGTGACTTCCCTTAGGAGGCCACTAAGCAGAGCCTGGAAACAGCCCTGCCACTTGTTTTGACCCCATCTTGGTGGATTGAGGATAAGGGAATACAGCACAGGGTCCAGTGTGGACATTTCCTGGCTTCCTGACTCGTGACTCTGCAGGAAAAAAGGGCCTTCACATGTTCAAATGCTCTAGTTCCCAGGGGAGGGGGCACTGTCGGAGAAGGCCAGCTCCTCTGCAGGTTCACCCAGCCGTGGCTGGCAGAGCGGAACTTGAGGTCAACCCCAGGACTCCAGCTCTGTGCTCACTCACCCCACAAAATGACCAGCATGTCCCCACCGGGCCTGGGCATCCCTGTAGTCACTGGACACAGACAGTATGAACAGTGGACCCTTGAGCATGGACCCCTTGGCTCGTTCTGACAGGAGCCAGAGCAGCCTGTCTGAACCCCAGGTCTGTGTGCAGGTGGACGCTGGGCTGAAGAAGAGGGAGTGAGAAGGTGGAACCCAGGCTTCAGCCGCAGCTGAGGACCCACTGTGGACCAGTCCTCCTCACTGCTGCCCCCGCGGTCAGCAGGGCAACCAAGCCACTCTGGAGAATGTGTCCAGCTGGCCAGGGAGGCCCCACAGAGCTGGGCCATAGACTAAGGAAGCTCTACGCATGTGATCTTTTGGGTGATACTGCAACCTCAAAAATGTGTGGATTAAGGCAAATCTTTGGGGCAGGGAGAAGCTTAGCAGGAAGTACAGAGGACCTTTAGGGCAGCTATAATGGTGAGTCCAAGTCACTGTGCATGTGGGCCAACCCCGTGGATGAATTCCACCAGGAGTGAACCCAGGGTCAACTGTGGACATTGGGCATTCATCCAACAAGTGGACCACTCTGGAGGGAGCATGGGGAAGAGGTGAGGGGGGCTGCAGTGTTTGGGAACATCTCTGTACCTGCTGCTCAGTTTCGCTCTGAGCCTAAAACTGTTCTTAATGAATCCTTAAGAATATATTAAACGTTCCATATAATCATATTAATATATTGAACAAGTCCTTTTAAATGTGTCATCTCCCAAGATATAAACACTATGATATTATCAGGAATGGGGGCTGAGAATTCACGGCTGCCAGACCGAGAGGAAGTTAGGAGAAGGATTGGGGTCCGGAGCCCATTACCCAGTGTGCTGGACTCAGAAACGCCACCCGCTCCCTCCAAGCACCACCCACTTCCAGAGCAAAGCAGACGGCGGCTAGGGACCTTCTCCCGCCTATGACAATCCACAGCAAAGCTACATGCTGAAGGCAAAGGGAACAAAATACCCACAGAGTGTAAAAGCTGAAGAGCACGGTTTCCAGGGGAGGGGGGGAGGGAGGCAGGGAAGGAGGGAGGCCAGGGGAGGCCCCAGGTGCACGCCCACACTGACCTACTTCCTCGGCCAGGCCCCGCCTCTCACCCAGGAATCCGTTCAAACCATTAAAGTATTAAATAGATCAATGCACTGATGAGGAGACACCCCTCACAGTCCCTTCGTTTCCCAAGCCCACCTCTGACCTTTGCCCATTGCGGACCATGCTCTCAGCACACAGGGTTTGGGGGGACATTCCAGAATCAAACCTAACACTGTGCCTGCCCTTGTGGACAGGGCCA